CCGATGTGGGACTCGATCCCAGGACCCTGGGATCATGACCTGAGCCGAAGGCAGACGCTTAACCATCTGAGCCACCCAGGCGCCCTCTATTTGACTTTTCTGCCCCATTATTTCAGAGTGCTATAAAGCTCCTCGGATCCCTAAGCCCTACATCAGAATGTTGGACACCTTTTGTCCCTTGGGCAGAGGTGGAGTGGTAGAGCATGATCTAGAATCCAGCACAGGGCCTGGCTCAGGGATGGTGATTGGGTGGAATCAGAGGTGATGCCTTGCTCTCACCAGTTTAGATGATGGAGCCCAGACCTTATCAATACCAGGTAGGTGGAAGGGGGAGGAGGGGGGTGCAGGGTTGCATGGCATGAACCCAACTCCTAGGAGGTAGACAGGTAAAGAGAGGGGCCCATATTGCAGTCATGCTCTCCCTGCTCTAAGCCCAAGTGCCAGGTCTGCCCCTAACATTTGTAGGCCTAAGGAAGAGCACAAATGAAGATCCACTTACCACACAGCTAAATTTGTATCAAGTCTAAGTTAACTGTGAATGATCTAGCCTTGTATCATGATAAGCATACCTTCATAATAACCTGAAGTTCTGTGTTAGAATGTTCCGCAGCCTTGGTCCCCAGCCTACAGTCTGCCTTCTCTTCCCCCCTGGCACACCCACCTCACACAGCAAAGGGCTTTGTGGGTATTTATAAACACTCCAGCTTGTATATCCAAGCTCCATCCACTCAGCTCTCTGACAAATAGCTGCCCCTTGGCCACCTCTTGGGCCTAGGAGTGTGCACACCAACAGCACAGTCTGTCAAGACCCGGAGGAGAGGTCAGAAAGTGGGCTTTGCAGGGAATTCTGAGGTCCTGGAAGGAGAAAGGGCACATCCTCTTGACCCTGCATTCCGTGGGGAGGATCCTGGCTGGAGGGTCACGGCAGGGCTTTCTGAAGTGAGAGGCCAGGGCACTAACGCTCGCCCTCCTGCAATGGGGTTTTCCAGGCTACAAGCTCTGATGGCAGACGTAGCTCCCCGGTACTTGTCTGGCTTCTCCCTATCAGCTCTTGAGAGGCGAAGGATCAACAAGCAGACCCGTACAAAAGAAAAATACTGTTTATTCCACACAACTACATCAAGTGCTTCATCCCCATTCTTCCCTCCCCACCGCTCACTCCAGCCCTCAGCAGGCTTTGCCCCTTGTGGGGGGATAGTCAGAACCTCAGTGTCAGAGCCTGGCCTATGAGACAGAAAGGAAATCTAGGCATAGGAAGGTGAGTGGGTCCAAGGGCACAAAAACGTCAGGGTTTCTCTCATTCCGGATTCAAGTGTGTTCCTCAATCCGCTTGGCCAAATTCTTCCCTGGGCCCCCACTAGATAAAATGCCGTGGATAGGGCAGGGTCAAAGACCCCAGCTGATTCACTGGGCCACAGAAAGTTTTGGTCTTTCTTTCATTTAAAACAAAAACAAACACCACCACACGCAGACAGTGAAATCATTTCTGCCCTTTCTCCTGCCTAAGCTCTGGCTCTGTCCGGAAAGGTGCTTTCAAAACAAAAGTTATATAAACTCCCTTCAGAGCCTGGTGCTACCAGAAACAAAGCAGAAAACCCACGTCGGGTACAGATAGCTGCTCCCCGAGGGTCCGACATGGGAGAGCAGGAACAGAGACAGCAAGCCGGTGAGCTCTGCCCTGGGCCATTTCAGGGATACTCTGCACCCCCCTGCCTGGGGAATTCAGCCTGCAAAAATCCTGTTCCTCGGAAAGACCTACCCATCCTTCCTGGAGAGGAGAAAATGGTTTCATTCTAGCCCAGCCTCGGGAAGACAGATTTAGAAAAGGGAGGAGCTGAGAAAGCATGGCCAGGCCTAATTTAGACCAGAACTTCATTATCTTTTTCCTTTCGCAGACCAGGACAGATGGGTTCCTCCTGCATCTCCAGGGCCACGGCCACACCCTGGATTATATGCTACTCCCAGGGCTCCAGCTGTGACCCACTTGTCTTTCCCAAAAAAGAAAGCATATCTGAACGCAAGTGTTTGAGGGTGAAAACCTGTCTCTCTCTGATTTATTGAAGGGTAAGTCACTGAATCGTTTGCCAACCCCAGTACTTTAACTCTTCTTACTAAAAACTTGCTTAGCACGCCTCTCCCAAGCCAGTTCATCTCATGCAGACAGGGTGGATAACCCTAAACTGGAGTGTGACGCCTCCCCCCGGGAGACATATTCTCTCCTGGGAGGCCGGGGCAGGCAAGGTGCCTGCCTGCTTCCTCATTCTCACCACACTCGGGAAGGTTTGGTTGGTCTGAACGTAGCGGGCAGGGGTGGGTGTGTGTGTGTGTGTGTGTGTGTGTGTGTGTGTGTGTGTGGCAATTTGACACACACAATTGTCCTCTCACACTCTGGCAATGTAGGGCCTGCCAGGGACCAGTCGTAGGCAGGAAATGACAGCAAGCCAGAGGAAGCTAGACCAGGAGGTGGCTCTGCCACAGTGACCAGTGGGGGTGGGGATGGGCCCTCGCCTCGCAGCCACCTCATCGGGGTAGATCTTGTGAGGTGTGGAGCTGGGCGGCTGCTATGGACCTGGCTCTGTGACTTGTGCCCCTTTAGGGACGGTCTCCTGGGTTCATCTAAGCCAACCTCTTAGTGCTCTCCTGACCTCCCAGAGTGATATACTGAGTTCCAGGGGCTGTCCAGCCACCGTGAGGCTGGGAAACTCACTTAGCAGCTTGGGTGAGATGCCAGCCCTCAACGTGCCATAGCTGTCCTTTCTACAGGTGACGCCCATCCTGCCTCAGGGGTCTTCTTGACTGGGGGCGGAGGGGGGGAGCGGGGATTGTTTGCACAAACACGTGATCTAAGACTTTGGACAAAATAAGATTTCTCCTCCAGTATCCAAGGCTCTGAGTCTCAAAGAAAATTAAGAGTTAAGTCACCTTCTGCAAGAGACCTTCCTGGGCTGCCACCAGTCCTTTCTGGATGTTGGCCTTTTCCCCGGGCCCTTGCTGTTTGGTTTAGTGTTTCATTTGCCCCTTCTGAGAAGGCCCGGCACTGGGTTGGGGGTGGGTGGGAGGACAAGAGAAAGAGAGAGTCAGCATTCCTTCCCTCATTTTTCTCCAGGGTGCTGCGAGAGCTTGGGCAATGGGATTTTCCAGGCTGCCAGTTCTTTATCCCTCACTGTTTAGTGGAGACAGCCATGGGCAGAGATTAGATTAAAATCTGGGAGGACGGGCTTATTTGCTAAGTTCCCAACGTGCTGTACACCCAGGTCAACTCCAGGACAGCTAGAGTTCAGAGCTGCTTCCTTCCACCATGGATTACAAATGAAAAGGTTCCGCTTTAGTGCAATTTCCCCCCAAAAGGAATCAGGAAGAAGTGGGAAAGGAGATCACGTGTTCTGGCCCCAGGGCTGCGGGAACCTTCTGACCTGGAAGGCAAGGCAGACACTGAGCCTGACCTTCTGAGCAGCTCATCACACTTTTCAGAATTGTGCCTCTTGGGTCCTTTGCGGGCGCGGGGGGGGGGGGGGGGGGCAGGCGGTGTGCCTGCAGGCAAAGGGTGGGAGGTGAGGCTGCAGTCCCTGCCACACTTACACACAGGAGCAAAGGGGAAGAGAGGGCCAGAGAGAATGCCATCAAAAACAAGAGCTAATGGCCAGGGGTCCTTCGGGGGCTGTGGTAGCCCTGCCCCAAGGACGGGGGGGTGTCTGGTTCCCAACCAGAATTCACCCTTCGAAAACCACATTAGCAAAGTGCTTCTTTAAGTGAGGGAGGGGTCCCTCGGCATGACCAGCCCGGGCCCGAGCCTGCAGCTCTCCGGTGGGCCCCTCTGCCCTCCCCATGCTGTGAGATACGTGGAGGAGCGGAGGGAGGGAGGCAGCGGACACACATGCACACGGTGGAGTCTCGAGACCCAGGACGAGCACAGCTGCACGCCACACTGTGACAGGAGCTGTCACGGCGGTGGCTGCAGCCAGGTGCCAAGGGAGAAGTACAAAGTGCTGGAACGCAGGGCTGGGGGCTGAGCCCTAAGGGATCTGAAAGACATTCAGCTTGCTGGTGTTCTTGAGCGTCTGGCGCCGATTGCAGAACCAGACCCGCACCACCTCCCGGTCATAGTTGAGCTCCTTAGCAATCTCGGTGATCTCCTGGCCCGTGGGCAGTGGGTTCTTCTCGAAGTAGGCATTCAGGGCCTCTATGGCCTGGGGGGTGAAGGAGGTGCGGCGTTTGCGTTTCTTGGAGGGCTCACCTCCCACAAACTCCATCAGGTTCTGCTGCCCTTCCTGGTTCCGGAGTTCGGCTTCATTCAGCCACTTTTCCAGCACTGGCTTCAGCTTCTGGGCACTCTTGGGCGTGATGTCCAGCTTCTCGAACCTGTGGGTGACCCGAGCCCAGGGAAGGGACGGTGAGAATGTCTTATTCCTCACACTGGGGTGTGAGTACACTCCGCAAGGGGCCGCTCCTCTCAGGCCTGGTGACACTGGACTAAATGTTCCCCTCACCACCCCCACCAAGACCACCCTGGCCCAGCCAAGCCCGACTCCTCAGACTGTCCTGCATCCCAGGTCATACCAGGGAGACCACTCCCATGGCCTCAGTTCAGTGGTGCAAGGATAACAGTGCAACTGCTGTATGAACAGCTCTTCCAGAACGTTCACACCCAAGTGAGTGAGGTCCTTTGAGGAGTTGTCTAGAGAGGCTTTCAGAGATGGCACATGGATGTAACGAGTACCTCTCCAGTCAGCCCCACAGCAGCCTCAGCAAGTCAGACAACTCTTTCTGACCAAGCCCAGACGGGACTACGGAACTGCCAACATGGAGCCTGCTCTAACAGTCACTCTCGTCTGATCCAGGGAGTTGGCAGGCACCCTTCGGCCATCCCTGAGCCATGTGCTCCTTCTCGTTTGAAACCCTCTGCCCTCCTTTGATGCTGGCACCAGAACCAGTTCGAACACTGCACGCAGAAAAATCAGCTCCATCCCTTTATAGTCATGCCTTGGAGGAGGGGGAGATGGGGGCATAACCGGGGAGGGGGGGCAGCGGGGGTCGTGGTTGAGAGCCAAGTCAGTACCGAAGGTCCCGCTTTGGGGACCAACTTCATAAGCTGTACTCCTTTTTCTGTAGGGTTCCTGAATGGATTAAGGTCTTGGGTTCCCCCCACCAAAAGACCACATAAATGCTCAGGATTGGAAGATAAGCTACAGAAGGCTCTCAGATGGACTGCATCAGTCTTTGGCTACTCTAGGTGTTCATGTCGATCCTTAGAACAGCCTTCCTGGTCTAGAAGGAGGCAGGAGCAAGGGAGAATATGGAAAGGAGCCATGCACCTGGGTCCCAGTGAGTGCCTAGGGACATCAGGTGCCTGAGCAGGACTTACTCACCTGCAGATAGCTGACTGGCTGTAGGCTGGGCCTTCCGTGGCAGTCAGAGCCTGACCCACCTGAGTCTGCGTGAGGCCCAGGGACAGCCGTCGGATCTTAAAGTTCTTGGCAAACTCCCGGATCTCTTCCAAGTTGATTCCGTCCTCATCCAGACTTGGGGTATGTGGCTCTAGGCCAGAGGAAGGGACCAGGGGTGAGTGTGTAAGACAGATGATATCACTGCTTATCTAGCTTATTGACCTGGCCTGGTAAAGTAGTGAGGGATGAGGACATTTGACAAAAGGCCCATGCACCCTTACTGTCCTCTTCGCCCCTATTCCCAAAGCAAACAAGCCTTGCAGGAAAGGAGCCTGGACTAACTGTCGGGAAGGAGGGGTCTGTTTTCAAGTTCTTCTAGCTCTAATGGCCAACCCTCCCCCATTCTCCCTACTCCTAGCCCCAAGCACACCTTAGCCATCCACATTCCTCAGATACTGGGTGAGAGACCAAAGGAGAGACAGCCCATGGGTTGGCTTCTCAAAGAAGCAGCCTCCACTATCATCACGCCTAGAATCCAGCTCAGCAGGAATGGGAATTAGAGAGCCAATCCCTGGTGTCAGGCCTTTGCCCTTCCCCTTTGGACTCTAGAAAGTTTATTAAGGAGAGCAGCATCTAAAGGCGCTGGGGTATTTGAATAAATGCCTCCTCTCCTCTTCTCTACAATCTTCTCCAGGAGCCACTTACTGGATACCAACTGGCTGACAGTAGGGGTCTCAGAGCAGGTGATTGGAATGGGAGCAGAGGCAGATGGCTTGGCCGCTGGGGCTGGGCTGGTGATGACCACCGCAGGCTGGGGCACGGCTGGCGTGGGCTGGATGGGCTGTACCTATGAAAAGAGAGTCCATGAGTCCCCACTGCCCACCCGCCTGGCTCTGGGGCTTGCAGTCCCTGCAAGGTCCAGAGGCAGGGCAAAATGGGCATGAAATCCTCACCCACCTGGCACACTCCTACCTATGCGCCATCACAAAGCGAGACTTACAAGCTACTTATTAGCACCCGCCTAACAATCATGACCAAGTTGGAGCCTCTCAGGCACCTGTGACAAGGCAGGTCAGAGGCTCAGAAAGTTTCAGTACAACTTGGTCAAAGCCCCAACAAGTATCCACCCTCGAGATAACTGCTCTCAAATCTTTTCCCTCAGAGCAGAAACCGAAACCTGATTCTAGGGCCTCCCAGGCCCCAAATATCTATCAATAAGGAACTGGCAAGTGATTCCTGGGACTTCCCTACAGTGAGATTCTATGCAGCTATTAAAAAGAGTACAGTAAATCTCTTGAATACTGACATGCAAAGAGCTCTGGGTCACAGTGCTAAGTGGAAAAAAAGGTAAAGTGAAAACAGTTTTTAGAGAATAATTCCTATTAAAAATACGTATGGGGATGGGTTAGCCCGGTGATGGGTATTAAAGAGGGCACGTACTGCATGGAGCACTGGGTGTTATGCACAAACAATGAATCATGGAACACTACATCAAAAACTAATGATGTCATGTATGGTGATTAACATAATAAAAGGAAAAAAAATACATATGGGGGCGCCTGGTGGCTCAGTCATTAAGCGTCCACCTTCGGCTCAGGTCATGATCCCAGGGTCCTGGGATCGAGCTCCGCATCAGGCTCCCTGCTCTGCGGGAAGCCTGCTTCTCCCTCTCCCACTCCCCCTGCTTGTGTTGCCTCTCTTCGCTGTGTCTCTCTCTGTCAAATAAAAAAATCTTCAAAAAAAATTACATATGAGTTTCCAGGAAAAAAGTCTGGAGGCATATAAAGCAAGTTGTCAACAGAAGTCATCTCTGGAGGTGGAATTTTACTTTTTTCCATTAACATACTATTGGAATTTTTATAAAAATCATGTATCATATTTATCATCAAGAGAAACTATAAATATATGACATTAGTATTTTTTTGTATGATTTTTTTTTAATAAACTCTACCCCCAACATGGGCCTAGAACTCATGACCCCGTGATCAAGAGTCGCATGTTCTACTGACTGAGCCAGCCAGGTGCACCCAGTATGATTTTTTTTTTTCTTAAAGCTTCCTGGAAAGTGTAGATTTCTCTAGGATGGGTCCTATTCCCTGGATTCTACCTCTTGGTAGCTCTCAAGTCCATTCCCCTCTTCATCACCAGAACCCTATTAGCCTTTAGTCAGGGCTCCTCATTTCTTGCTAGAACTGTTTCTCGGCTGCCTCCTAACAGGTGACAAGGACTCAAGTCTTGCCACGGTTCAGTTCTTAGCTCCACCTGGATAAGAGCTAATTTTTTTTTTTTTTAAGTAGGTTCCATGCCCAGTGTGGAGCTCAACGTGGGGCTTGAACTCACAACCCTGAGGTCAAGACCTGAGCTGAAACCAAGAGTCAGATGCTTAACCAACTATGCCACCCAGGCACCAACCGCCCACCACCCCCCCCCCCGGGTAATTTCTTTTTAATACACATCTAGCCACTTCCCTGCTAAAAGCCCTTCCATGACTCCCCACTACATAATAACAGTGATAAAATAAAAGCTCCATTTTTCTAGTGCTTCCTGTGTACCAGAGTGTTAACTGTCTTATGTGTAATATATCCGTTAACATTCATAACCTTCTGAATTGGTACTCTGATAATCTCCATGTTACAGAGGAGGCTACGGGGTTATTCACAAAGCTTGGAAACAGCACACCACATTTGAGGGCCACGGCCTCAACATCACCTGAGAACTTGCTAGAAATGCAAACTCTTGGGCTCCACTCCAACCCTACTGAATAAGAACTCCGGGGGTGGGGGGAATGTGTGTGTGTGTGTGCGCGGGGAATCTGCATTCCAATAAGGGGTGGTTCTGACACGCACTCAAGTTTGGGAACCCCTGCTCTGGCACATTATCATTCCTGCAATTACGTAAAGGTAGGCCCACTCTCCCATCCAACTCATCCCTTTAGATGAGTTCACCGACCCTTCTCTATGAGGCCTTGCTGAACTCCCCGGTCTGTTGGGAGCTCCCTTCTCTGGGTCCCCACAGCACCTTCTCAGGTCCCTATCATAGTCCTTGTCACGCTGGCTTGCAGTGTCTCCAGCACTGGGCTACCTAAGGCTAGGGAGGGCATCTTACTCGTCTCTAGATCTTCAGCACCTGGGACATAGTAGGCACTCAAAAACTGCTCCTGGAATGAACAAATAAAGCAATAATCAAAGCCACAGTGCAGAGTGAAGGGGTGAAGTGGGAGGAGGTACAGAATAAACTTCTGGGGCTCTGCCGGTGGTCTGTTCACCTTGGAGCTAATCAAGGCTCAGTTTACTCTGACCACCTCCCTGGCCTTCTCAGCACACCACTAGCCTCTGAGGGCACAGAGACGCGTTTTTGGGTGTGTGTGGGTAGGGGTGGGGGGGTGCTCCTTCCCTGGACAGAGTATGTGGGGACTCGCTTGGGCCTTCTACCCTGGGATTTCCCCTCACTTTGGAGAGGTGCTCTGTTTCCTGGGGACTTCAGAAGATAATCTTGTCCTGCCCTGCAGTCTTGAGGGAGGCAGCCCATTCCAGACAGCCCTGCCTGCCGCCCACCCCCCACAATCCTGCCCTCGCCCCAACCCAGCCCTTGTACCTCACTCTTAGCAGGGGACTCAGGCGTGCTTGCCTTCCGGACAGCCACGGGCGGAGGCAGGGGGCTGCTGGCCAGGGTTGCAATCACCTGGCCCTGGGCATTCAACAACAGCTGGGGCGTCACAGCCTGGACCTGCAGGCTCTGGGCTGGTGCTGGGGCTGCCACGCTAGCCGAGTTCACTACCCACGGAAGGGCTCCAATAACCTGCGAGGAAACAACGCAGGGACCCCGGGTGTGAGGCCAGTGTCCAGTCCTGCCCCCAACCCAAAGCCCCACACTGGCAGGGGAAGGGACTTAAATCACTGCACCCTTCTGGAGCTCAGTTTCCTCGTCAGTAAGGACAAGGATTCATCCTCTAGGAGCTGTTTCCTTTGTTCGATCTCCAGAGCTGTGGTGGGGCAGGAGTAGGTCTGCACGTGAGTCACACGGCCCTGGATGCGAATCCCTGCCCTGCCTCATTTTATCAGGTGGCTTAATTTCTCTGGACTTCAGCCTTCTCCCCTGTAAAAGGGGAATGCAAATCTCCACCTAGTAGGCCTGTACTCCAAGTGAGGTGAGGTAATGTACGAGAAAGCACCAAACGCAGAGCCAGGCCACGAGGTGGGTGCTCCACAAATGAAAGCCCCCGGCTAGAGTGAGCACCTAGAGGGCGGGGTGGGGGCTATGCCCCTGTCTGGGCTCAGCATCAGCACAGAGCTGCCACACGAGGGACAGGGACAGCAGCTTGACACCCTGTTGGAGTTTCTTTGACCGTTAGCCCGTATCCTGACCCCCCAGGCAGCTTCTCCACCACCCCCACCCCTCAGCCCTGCCTTTGACCACTTGCCTGTCCCTGAGCGTTGGTGAGGATCTGACTGCTGATCCCCGGCATGCTGGGAATGGCGTTGGCAATGACCGGAGTGGTAGTGAGGGAACCTAGGATCTGGGTCTGTCCCCCGAGGGAAGCGGCACTGATCTGTGGGTGGAGAAAGAGCCCTGCTCAGAGGCCAAGGGGCAAGAAAGAGCCCTAGGCAGAGAGGAGAAGGCTGAGGGC